CCTGGCTCCCCTCCCGGCCCGCCTGGCTCCCCTCCCGGCCCGCCTGGCTCCCCTCCCGGCCCGCCTGGCTCCCCTCCCGGCCCGCTCCTTCTCCAGCCACGCCAAGACGCGCTCGTACCTCCAGTATGTGAAGAGGAAGATCATGGCCCCTCCCAGTCCTCCGTACGGACACGTCTGCCAGGTGGGCGACCCGGTTCTGCGCTGCCGTGCCGAGGCTGTGGACCCGGCGGCAGTGACGGGTCCTGAGGTCCAGCGGGTCATCAGCACCATGGTGAAGGTGATGCGGAAGCAGGAGTGCGTGGGGTTGAGCGCCCCCCAGGTCGGGGTGCCGCTCCGCATCCTGGCCCTGGAGTTTCCAGAGCGGATGCTGGACGACGTGTCCCCGGCCTCCAGGGAGGTCCGAGGTCTGTCCGCCCAGCCCCTCAGGGTGTTCGTGAACCCGCGGCTCAGGGTTCTGGACGGCCAGACGGCTCTCTTCCAGGAGGCCTGCGAGAGCATCTCAGGCTTCTCTGCTGCGGTTCCTCGGTTCCTGTCCGTGGAGGTGTCGGGTACGTACTGGGTCTGCCCCATTAATGGGGTTTCTGTAGAACAGAAACTGCTTTTCGGACCAGCCCTACAAGCTAGAACCAGACGGTTTCCTCTTTGATACGGTTCTGTTGTGAGTGGATGAAACAGGGCCGGTTCTGTGACCGATTCTGTTGATTGTTGGCTTAAAACAAAAACATCAAGTTGTTTTTGTTGTTGTTGGTTGAAAATGGAAAAATGGCCGATGTTCTGTTGTTTTTTCTGAATCGATCAAGTTTAGGCCCGTTTTTGTTTGATAGTTTAAAACAAAAGCAGAACCCATTTTAATGTATTGGTTTAAACAGACACTCGGACTGAGAGGAAACTGGGCCTTTGCTGGTTTTAGACAGTAAACCACAGATGGACCCGTTGGTTCCTGTTCTTCATATTTGACAGTAAAGTGGATTATTCTTCAGAACCCTGCTGCATAACCATCAGTTTGATTAAAACTGATAACCAGTGATGCTGTTTGGACCTCAGCCGTCCCACAGCGCTCTAACTGGACCTCTACAGAACACACATCTGATCAGAACCTTCTGCCTTTTTTGCAGGCCTGAATGAAAAAGGAGAACCGGTGTCGTGGCGGGCCAGCGGCTGGCCGGCCCGCATCCTGCAGCATGAGATGGACCACCTGGACGGCGTCCTCTACATCGACCGCATGGACAGCAAGACCTTCATCAACATCCACTGGCAGCAGCACAACGAGTAGACCGGACGCCGGGTCCTCAGACAGCTGAGGCTGTGGCGGTTGGTGGTTCTGGTTGAAAGAAGAGGTCTGGATGAAGTGAACTCACAGAGAACCTGGTAAAGCAGAAGCAGCTCCTGAGGACCTCAGATGTGTTTGATGAAACATCACATGAATGAAACGGTGCCGACGGCAGGACATGATCCAGGAGAACAACCGTGATGGAACATCTGGAACACGCTGATGTCGTCTAAATTATTCTTCTTGTTCTGCTTGGTTCTGTTGAAACGTTCAAATCGTACGACTAATCAAACACTTCATGGCCAAAAACTACTGAACTTCTGCTGCACTTGGTTCTAAAGTCACCGAGTCTCTCTGTGGAAACACCGTCCAGCTGGACGCCCACCTGGACGCTCACCTGGACGCTCACCTGGACGCTCACCTGGACGCCCACCTGGACGCTCACCTGGACGTCCACTGAGTCAGCGGTGGATTGTGTCCCACTGAGGAGCTCCATTTTGTTTGTAGTACAGAATCTAATGCAAACAGTTTTGTGTAATTGGCTGAACTGAGACGTGCAGATTAAAGTGATTTCTGTTAAACATCAGAACTTTAATGGTTCGTTTTCCTGAACTGAGCCTGATGCCTTCGAGGACTTTCAAAAAGCTGTAAATCCAACAATTCTTTCAGTTTTTGCTGTTTCTGGCTGATAAATGGTGACATTCAGGCATTTAAAAAAAGAAAGAAAAGAAAATGTGTGTTTCATAACCGAACCTTTGAGTCCAGATCAGGTGGTTTATGCTCACAGTGCTGGTGTTTGTCAGGTTCTGGTTCCTGGACTCACTCATATCAACTAATAACATCCATCCATCATCTCTACACCTTCATCCTCACCAGGGTCATGGGGGG